TGGGGGGGGGGGGGGGGGGAGATGGTTGAAAAAAAATTTTCCGGACATTAAAAAAAGGGTCAAAAAGTTTTTCCGGACATAAACCAGTGAAATTAAGGGTCAAACATTTTTTCCATACAAATTCCTGTTAAAACATGGGTGAAACCAATATTTTTGGACCAATATCTGTAAAATTTAGGTCTATAAATTATATTCAATTACCTCTGAAAGCCCTGTAAGTTACTTAATAGCTCTACATTCTATCATTTAAAATCTTTGATTGGCCTGCCAATCCAGATGAATCGCCCTGCCAATCCAGATGATTCGTTTTTTTTGGGGGGGGTCACCCCCTGTTTCGCCCCTGCATAAAAAATGTGCACACAAATCAAACTAACATTGTGCACAGTGTTATGACATAAACAAGAGTTTCATCCTTTGAGTTGAGGATATCATTATTAATGTTTTTTTGCTGAACATAGTAAACTAAGTAAATTACATTGTCGTAATAAGCAAAATCAACAGAGCGCCTGCTTACCACACCCTACTTTGTTACTATAAATGCCAGGTATTTTTACTAGTTAAGAGGAAAACGTAAACATTTTAATGGGTGAACCAGATTGCTGTCTGATATCCACACATAGTCCCCAGGGAGCATCTTGTTGGAGCAACCACCTTTCTTGTGATAACAACTCCTTGGCTGTTGTGGTGTTGAAAAAATTACTGAATACAAATATTGGAGAAAACCCAATAATATTGAATTTTGATATTTTTCCTCTATGGAAAACAAGGTTGGTTCCTGCCAAATTCTAAGACATCGAAGAAACAAAGAAACGTGACTCCAAATACCTGACAGGAATTGCCAATTTTTATACTCTGATCCTGAAATTATGCTGATGCTGTAACTTTAAAACGTTTTTACTGTTGACGCTGAACATGATATGTTAATAATAATAATAATAATAATAATAATAATAATTTAATTTAATTGTTTAGAAGCTCAATAAAATTGTACAAAGTCAAGATTAAAATTCATTATCTAAAAGAAATATATGTTTTGGTCTATACTGATAATATTAAAAAAATTGTCATTTTGTTCTAAGTTTGTTTTTTTAAAACCAAACAATCCTTTAAATAAAATGTTTAACTACTAGTATATTCTGGCAATTTCTGTCTCAATATCTATGTCTGTATCTTTAACATCACATTGTTTCTTTCTCGTTATTCTCGATCCTCGAAGGCATAGGAGAACAGATCTAATGATCGAAAATGATATCTTTGCTCTTATCCAAGCCATTGTTTTTGAATACTTTTCTCCCTTCTTTATGGCAATTAATTCTGCTAATCGACTGTGATATTTCTTGCATTCTTCACCCATACCACCAGTTGTTGTAAAAATTAACGGCGTGAATGTTCCTTGTTCTATATCAGTAACTCGTTGGTTATACATTCGTTTCTTCTTATTTTCATGCATACGATACATCTGCTTTGGGGTTAACTCTTTATCAGATTCCGCATTTGGGTGGCATACCCGGACATCGAAGAATGCAGATCTTTGTCTTTCCCAAAAGCCACGTGCATGAACATCCAATCTGGCATCTTGTGATTTGTTTGACCCTGAGTTTAGCACCTCACCATTTACTCCTTGCAGAACTGGTTCAATTTGGACATCGTTACAGACAACATTGAACAGCTCAGCTTCCAAATCTCGTAATTCGTTATGGCGTTGAATGATAAAACCTCCTTTCTTACATATCATAGCATGGTCGATATTGAAAAGATCTCCACATGCACATCTTGTTGGATTATCCTTGAACGGCCAATCATATCTCAAATTCAATGCATCTCTAAACTCCCGCTTGTTTAAATGAAGGTCCACCTCGGATACAGGGACGACTGTTAACCAGGAGGAGGCTCCTTTCTCTGAGGCAAGCTCTATCATTCGTTTCATCTTCGGTGGTGCCGAGTCAATGACGGATTTAGCCATTACATTTAAAGTATCGTTCTTCTCTTTTCGTGCCATTTGCTTCAGCTCATGTACTCCTGAATCATCAGGAAGTTCGTGTATTTGCTCTTGAATTTGTTCCACCAATAGTGTTGTTACCTTTCTTGATACCGAATATTCCAATGTTGCTTCAATGCATGGATTTGTGACCCCAATACCACCTTTTTTAACAGGTAAGGCTAGAATTTCGCGCTCTAGTGGGGAACATTTGTGATCAACCAAAGCTGGCAGGAGGAATTTTGTAATCGCTTCTTCTAATGGTTGCAACAGATCTTGAATATCAGGTAATGTTCGAAGGAAGTATGTCGATCGATGTTTCAGCCCAAAAGTGTAAACTGCATAGCTTGCCTGAGGCTGTGTTGTTGCAAAATCAGCCAAATTGATTATCTCTTTCACCCATTCTTCCACCTTTTCGTTGACATATTCGTTCAGGTATGACCTTGAACCAACAACTGCTCCTAAATGCCTTTTTTCCTTCTGTCGTGATATTTATCTCTGTTTCTTT